AATTGAAAACCGAAAAAAATTGTGGTAAAGCAAGTATATCTGATTCAATTCCATAACGGTTATTTTGAATACAAACTGAATAGAAAAAAAGTTTCTTATATAATTCAGTATTCATATAAATTTAGTTGTTTCCAAATGTTTACATAAAAGTAGCTGTTTCAGGAGGGCTTTTTCTTTCAGATTTGTGTCTGAAAGTTACTTCTTTGCATGATCTACACATTTCTGTAAAGAGTATATCATGGAATTAATTGCTTTTTCCCTTACCTTGGAAGATTCCCACATTTTTTTGTATCAAGATGGGGTAGTAAAGAGCCAAAAACTTTCTTTCACAAAAATCAATATCTCTTGAAAATATACCCCTTTCAAAGATAAAAGTATTTTAACACTATTTAACATCTGTGGAGACCTAAGATCAGGTTGATTGTGCTGAATTTTCAACCATTGTAACAAATTTCATCAAATATTCACGTTAGTATCAAATTAATAAACAATGAAATTTCTGAATGGAGATAAAGAGCCTTGGAAACCTCACTCTAAGGTTGTTAAATTTAGAAATGAAATTACGAGCAATAGGTTGTAGTTCTGAACGTATTTGGGTAAATTGAAAGGATTCGCTGAAAATGTATTTTCCAAAATCAAAGTCGAGCCTCTAGTTTTCAAAGACACGTATCATTTGAAAAATAACTTGTGAACCCGGAGTGAATTCCTCATGGTTGAAAAAACATTCCTGATTCAAAACCCACGTGAAGAACTGTTTGGAACAACAACCCATAAGGCAGCGTACACGAAGAAATAAACACTATCAGAAGCGAGCATTATCCTTTCTCATAAACCTCACAGTTTAAAGCCCAGTTTTAGCAAGCAAGGCAGGCACCCACCACAAAAGGAAAGAATGGCCGAGACCTTCTCATTATTTGCACATATTACACACAAGGCATTCCACATAAATATGTGGCGTTGCATACGTCACAGATTTTATCATTGGACGGCTCGTTTCCGTCTACACTGATAAAAATAGTCGAGTGCACCGAATCATTTATTTTTCAAATGCAAAAAGTGAATTACAAATCAGCAATTCATCATTCTGATAGTATATTAATTTGATAATTTATATTATACAATTCAAAGTGCATACAAACTGTGAAGTCAAAACATTATTAACTGTTTACAATGAACAAAGTCCTCTCAATATAAACTGATACATACATCAACACATAACGATTCTTTGTCGAGGCGGGAAAAACACAACTGGGTAAAATCCACAAGGACCACATACTGAGAGAGATATTTTATAGGGCCCATTACGAGTTCAGTAATAATGTCATTCCAGCAGATCATTACAGAAACATCATTACTTAATTTACTTAATTTCAAAAAACCGACAATGCCTCATAAGTCGCATCGCCCCCATAAACAATGCTCTATTTTCGACAGCTCTTACTGCCCCCTTCTGACATGTTAGATCGCACGTTGAAACGTTGTGCCCTCCATCGCCGTCGACGTCATTTTTTTCTACCCACGCATAATTTCAAGTTTACACGTCAACTTGGACACCTCTTACTGCCCGTCTGACATGTTGGATCGCACGTTGAAACGTTAGGAACTCCATCGCCGTCGTCGGATCAGTTCAATACCATCTCCATCTCTCTCAGACTCATATGACAAATCAGCCTCTCTCACTTTTACACACACACTCTTATGAAAACCCATCCTCTCGCTCTGACACACAAACTGTTATGCAAAAACAAATTTGAGGTTATGCAGAAATACAAAGCAGGGGCCCAGCCCCTGCTTTGTATTTCTGCAGAAAGATCATTACTAAGAATTGTCCCGTCATTCCCTGTCATTATTTTCCGTACCTTACATGTTCATTATTACTGACATTATTTTTTAATCATTATCATGTTTCGAGTGGGGTAGATTATGGATTTTAATGAAAAAGTATGTCTAGCTATAATTATTGCATTAAGTATGAACCGTTTCGTTAAACGTCGTTACTGGATAAAAGAATGGTTAATAAAATGCAAAGATTATTCACATTTTGTGTTACTGAAGGAAATAAGTATTACGAAGAAAGCGAGTAATTATAAAAATTATTTTTATATGAACGAATACACTTTCAATAAATTATTGCGAGTGGTCCAACCAATTCTAATACGAAAAAATACGATTATGGACAGTTTGGAGGGAACACACCCCCTCTGAGTAATTAGGAAATTAGAGAGACCTGATAGTCGAAAGTAACTTATCAAAATGAAACACATGTACTGTTCATTTCCAAAATTAAACTGAAGAAAAGCCCTCGCTTTACACGGACATTATTACTGAAAGTGTCCCCTCCTCCTGCTAAGATTGATCCTCGAAAGTCAAAGTATCCGAATTCGCTTCATTACCGCTTCAATACTTGCGATAATTCCAGTTCATTATCTTTACACGTATATCGAGCATTCTCAATTTCGCCTATATGCCGATTATCTCAAGCTGTTTAGAAGAATTGAAAGCGAAAAAGATTCTGATATGCTTCAAGATGATCTCAATAATCTATCTACTTACTTTTCATTATCTGACCTATGTCTCAACGAAGCTAAATGCAAAATAATGAGTTTCACCATACCAATCATACCAATTTACAGAGAATCAATGAGATGAAAGATCTCGAGATCATTTTTACTGGTGTGTTCAGTTTCTCTCGGCACATTGAATACTTAGTATCTGAATGTTATAGAAAAATGAGCTTTATCTTAGGATCTAGCCCTGAATTCAATCACGATACTTGTTTGTTACTCTTTAACTCCATTGTTCGTTCTAAGCTGGAATATGGTTGTGTCATTTGGAATCCACAGACCTTTTTATATTCTGAAACTATAGAAACGATTATTAAAAACACTCTTTTTCAGAAAACACAATGTTTGACCTTCATTTATATTGTATTTTAGCGAATTACAAGAATTTAACATGCAACCATTGAAAGACCGCCGTGAGTCCTCGGAAGTAATTTTTGTTTTTAACATTCTTAGAAAACTGAAAATACCTAAAATTCTCTATACTATTGATTTTATTGTACCTGACGTAAGACTGAGAAGAAGAGACAATCTATTCCGTATCTCAAACAATTTGTCTCTTCTTCAACAATGTCTCGAAACAGTTAACAAAGTGGTGAGGAACTATGAACAGGATATATTCAGTATTACAGAAGGACAACTCCTTCGAATGCTCAAATGTGTCTGAATCTATTTACGATCATTTTATTATTTGTTGTTTAATATTGTTATATTTTATGCGAAGATCTACGTTAGGCATACATGAGAAGTTGCTCTCTGAATTGAGAACGGAAGATCCTCAGCAGTTGAAATTTTTTTTACGTATGTCTGCGGAAGATTGTTACTTTTTGCTGAATTTGGTGAAAGAAAAAATATATAAAAAAGATATCAAAATGCGAGAAGCCATTCCACTCTTTTTCTTTTGAATTTTTCTCCACTCCTTATTTAGTTGTGTTCTCAAGTTATGTAGCTTGCGCTGAATTTCATGTTCAGATGTGTTGAATAGTTCTGCTAAAAATGCCAAAATGCGCCTTGTTTTTTCACTCTATTTTAAAAATCTTTGCAATGTACATTCCATATTTCTGGGTACAGTTCAAAATTTTCAATTAGCAGAAGAGTTTCTTCTCTATTCCAAACACATCGTTCCTCCAGATTCGAAAAAAATAAATAAAAGTTTAAAATAGTTCACAAAATCCCACAACTCACTGCAAATATTGCGAAACAGTCTCGAAATAATAAAGTGCAAAGTAATTAGCCGTGTACACTACAAGCTCTAACAAGTCGGCAAGTATTTGGCCCGAGAGTAAACTTTCAGCAAACTTCCTCTAGCGCTGCTGTTTACACGCATTGCAAGTGACTTGTGAGAGTACTCTAGGCAAATTTAATTGCTAGTGGACACGAGGCTTTGTATCGATTTCAATTGTATCAATGGTACTCAATGAATACTATATGTAAGGAACTTTCAAAAAAACTGTACATCATGTAAGTGAAAACCATTCTATTTATTGTTCAGTATGAATAAATTTCTATTCTTTCATTAATGTCATTATTTGGAAATTTCACTTACATGGAACACTGTCATCCTCAATGGCGAACACTCGATGTTTCGGATTAAGACAAATTACAAAAAGAAGCACTCCATTCATCCATAAAAATACGATTTTATGTCACGAATCTGTTAAATCTACTTATGTCATTGTTGACAGTACATAATGACATTCATTCGCTTCTATGAAAGTAGAAAACCAAAACTTTCTTTCCCAAAAATGAATATACCTCTTTCAATTTGAAGTGATGATTGTATTTCACAAATTGATGTCTACCATAGATAGTTAAAAATTTCATGCAGGTCAAAAGGTTATACAATCTACATACTGATATAATAATGTGGCTATATAATAATATTAATTAGACCAATACATAAATAGAAAAAGGAATATTTTTAGGAGAGATTATTATTTCCTCTTTTTGTTTCCTCGGATATTTCACACATGTTTTTCATAACATTGTCATTTGTAAATTGCAATCTGAAGATATGAATTTATACGTCAAAACTGCCAAAAAACTGAATAAGCTGAGTTTAAGTTAAAGTAAGCTGGACAAAGTTCCTTAATAGTCGAATGGCACAAAAAATAAATAGTTACCAAACGTCGGCATTTTTTGTATGGCATGGGCGGCGTGGTATACTTTTTTTGTCTTATCGTTCATTAAGTGCTATTAAATACGTTCATTATGGATTTGCATTAATTCCTTGACAAAATATACAAACTTATTAATTTCTGGAAGCGAACTACTGGTACAAAAAAAGTACTAAAACACTTTTATCAGTGTATTTTCTTTCAGCAATGGCCCTCGCCAAACGAACAGAGACGGACGATGATGACAGCTGAGGAGTACATTGTGATTTTGTGACATCGCACCATTCACACAGTCAGTCAGTTGTTTGGTTGATGCGTGACAGCCGAGTCCAAGGTTCTTCTGTACATAAGTGATATGGCCCTCTATCAAGTTGGCAGCCGACGGAAAGCGTCACGGCCACATTTCGGAGGGAAGAAAAGTTATCTAGCAAAACAAGTTTGAAGTGCGTAGGCTGGTTCGTGTGGGATAGCCATTAGGTGGCATAGGAATAGAAAGGTAAACATTAAAAATAATTGAATTTATTTCAGTTTGCCATGTTATTCTAGATAACCCGACACATAAATCACGAATGACTAGTTAACACACCAATTTTCTTTGTTTTAAATACACGTTTTGACAAACCGGTTCTAGTTTGGAGGTCACGTGATTCTGATATTAGATTCTTGACCTAGAGTTAAGACGAAGGAAACATTGCTGGTGGATATAAAAGTTTGATGGTGGTCAATACCGCCATCTAGTAGTAGTAGTTGGATACATCAGAAGTATTTACGACAGATGATAGCAACAGGAATAAATATAATCTGTACCAATACCGTTCGTTTCCAAAATATGTTATGTTAAGATAAAAATTAATAATGAAAGAAACTCGTGAGTGTTCATGGATTATTGCTGCTTATCTAGTATACGGAGAACGTGGGATGTTGATATATTCGAGCAGTTATCTTCATCATTATTTTAAAAAGTCATCAGAGTTTCAGAACAACTCAAATCCAAATAATTCCAGCAATTGAAGGAATCTATTTTGAATATACATATGCTGTGTCTGGAGAACATTGTTTATTTATTTATTTGTTTACAAACTTTACAGGCCATGGCCCAGTTACAGAGTAGTTAAGGTAAATATCACAAATAGATTTGTACATACAATAAAATTACAAAAAATATTCAACAAGAGTTATACAATTTCATACAACCTATTTCTAAAACTAGTAATATTTTGGAAGATGATATCACAGTCATTTTGTACATTATTATAGGCATTTAATGGGGAATTTTGATAATAATTTCGTCTTGCCGATTCAGTATAAAAGTTTCATAAGCAGGTACATTAAAATTGATTTTTGATAGAAGACAGGGATCATCCACTTCACCATGTATCATCTTGTACAAAAATATTAAGTATGCAAATACTCTTCTTTTCTAGGGGGTTTGCATGTTGTACTTTTCAAGTAGCACTACTTTGGAAATATCAAGGTCATAGTTACCTATTTCTTTGAAGTGAAGATATCTCAGAAACTTGTTTTGAACTCTTTCTATGCTACACTTGTGACACTTATATTGAGGACACCAGATAATGGAAACATATTCCAAAATGCTTCTGATAAGAGTGATATACAAATGTTTGATGCAGGTAATAATGTTGAATTGCCTAGAGTTGCGAACTACAAACGCATACATCTTTGAGGCCTTGTTTGTTATATTAAGTATCTATATGAGATCTAAATGATAATTTATAATCAAAAGTAACACCAAGGTCTGTTATTTCTCGAGTTCTGTTGATTTTTACACCGTCCATGTCGTAGCTGTACGTTATGACTTTTTTCCGGGAGAAGGTCATAGCATTACACTTTTGAACGTTGAATAACAATTTTTTCTTTTTTGACTATTCAACGATGTTATTTATATCGTTTTGTAGATGTACACAATCTTCAACTGTTGAAATTCTTCTGAAAATTTTCAATTCATCTGCAAACAAGTAGCAAGATGATGTGATATTTTTTACAAGACTGTTGATAAATAAAATAAAAAACAAAGGACCTGAGGTGGAACCCTGTTGTCAAAATAGTAGGATATATATTCTTCCTGTTATTTACATTCATCAGTACCTAAGTGTAGATTTGTCGAAATATCCATTTTGATGGAAAAAGACCTTACAATAAACTCATCAACTCTAACCTCTCCATATCTTAGTAACAGGTACGACCATATAGCAAACATCGCTAAATACATGCACTTGTTGAGTCAGAATCGAACAGAGAAATCACAAATGGAAGGACATATTTAACAATTCGAAGATGAAATGTGGAGTCACTATTGAGAAGAACAAAATCCGGGCTGTTATACTGCGGTAGAATGGAACCCAAAGTACAAAACGTTTGGTCTGCTACTGTGGCAGACATCATCAGTGGTATGTGCCTTGACTACGAGGACGAATGGCATTTCTAGTAGCCTGGATTTTTTTCCTCTTCAACTGAAATGTAGAGATTTGGAGAAAATTATTCGATATAATAGTGTCCTAGAAATGTTTTTTATTTTTAAACTTCTATAATTTAGTGTATAGTTTAAGAAGTTTTTGTAACAAATATTGAATGATTCATCAAAGAAATCAGTTAATCAAACATTGAGGACACATCGGCTGTCGATTCATAAAATTACTTTCTGTCAGAACGTAAATTGAACAAAATTTATGCTGATGAGAACCAAAACTAAGCACAGGCAATAATAAGAGGATTTATGTTTTGCATAGATATCTGTCAATATGATCTCAACTTTAACTCCAAAATTATATGTAAATTCGCAACAAAACATTTACAATTATTATTTTGGGAAATTTATGAGAAAAAAATGGTATGCAATATATAGGGCTTTGTCAGAGAATGACTTCCCGAGGTGAATCACGCCCGTCCCAAGAGATGATTATAGGGACTGCCGCTAAAAAAGAATGAGGGGACCAGTTTTTTCTTAATGTTGTAGATACATTTTTCCCCGCAAAGGTCAATCTTTTCAACACCTTTTCCTGTTGTTCAATAGAGATAGTATATTATGATTGAGCTTTGGTAAATAACTGAAAAATATACCGTATCTACTAAACAAAGGCATGCCTACTTTACTAATACTAGTGTGAATTTTTTCTAAATTACAAAAAATTTCAATAGTTCAATTGAATAACTGAATAGTCAATTCTACGTCATTATCACGCGTAATGTTTATTTGTTTTAAATCAATTCACATGACAAAGTTCGGAAAACCTATTTGGGCAACGTCCAAATTGTTAAACCAAATAGATGACTGGATAATATGAAATTATAGTAGTCGATATATTCGATCTACATATTTTATTGATTTACAAATTTTCCATTCAACTATGGAAGTATTGATGAGTATGCACTATTTTGTTCCATTAAAGGATTGTTTCGATGATTGAAAATCAACTATTTTTTGAATGATGGAATCTTAACCTCAAACTACTCAAACTACTTAAATCAACTTGGCAAAAATCTCTTTTATGTCTTGAAACATGTCTCTATCTCAATTGGTTCAAAAGTTATCGCCTATTGAGTAAAGCATTCTTGGACTAATGAAATAGGATTACGTGTGTAGTGAGACCGTTTCACAAAATCTGGCTGTTCAGATCGTAGTGGGGAATTTAATTTTTGTTTTCTGGAATCGATTACAAACCTTATTCCAGAGCAGCCCCCTTCAGGGAAGGGGGGAGAAATATGACCATTAATTGCAATTGTACGTGTAAATGATGTTAATTTGCTGATATTATGATTTTATTGTAGAGTTGTACTGAAATAAAAATACTCAGTTTTTAATGTATACATCGAGAAAATGAGAAATTGATCGGACCAATTTAGAACAGTTTAGAAAATAACATAATAAGGATACCACACAACTGACATGATTATTCTATATAAAAACACGAAATCAATATAATCTGACTCCTACTTTAACAACAAATTTCAGTAGCAACATTTTTGTCACACTCAAGTTATGTTATAAGAATGAGAATCCCGTAACTGTTGTTTCTACTAAATCAAAACAATCTGCCAAAACCCACCGTGCATCACAGAATAGAAAAACAGTTTCATTCAAATGAGAAGATCTTATCACGAATCGAAACATTTGTATATTTCACATCAGGAGAATCATTACGCAACCAAAATAACTTTCCTAAATTTCTGCAATAATTGTAAAACTTATTTCCCCTTTTGTAAATAGCGAAACAGTGGACTATCTTTATAGCAGTAGTTTTCAAATCTTTCTTATCAAATTGATCGATAAACCCTTCTTTTTATAGGTTTAATGGGACAACAGGCTTTCTTTCTCTCTCCGCACTCTTCTCCGTCCGATGTAAGCGTTAAACGTCATCCGACTAAACCACGCCTTTTTATAACCAGATATCGGAAGCGTTGGACCCTCCTCTTATGCAAACATGATCTCTAATCTGGCATCGTGACGTGCTGAGGAACGTGACTATACACCAGACCGCATCGATAAGACGCTCATTTTCGGCCACATTTGAAAAATCCATCAACACCGTATGTGTTTATACTGAAAATCAAAGTGCACCGAGAGACCACATACGTATTTAACCGTCCGTCGGCTGTGTTTGCTCAACCACACCCAGTCTGTCACATTCGGTACGTTATGGGATATATCTGACGGGAATTCCTGCCCACGAAGCCGCCCCGCGCACTGCGTCGGCGTCGGTTGTTGGACGCCCGCAGCGCCGCGACGCTACCCAAACACATCCAGATCAGCCGACTCCGAATTCAGTTCGGTGCCAGCAGAACAACGAGCAACACCTGTCTGTCAACACACGGTGAGTCACACTCTATTATTATTATCATCTTACATATGCATGGGCTAATGTCAACAATTGTGTTTGTACTGTACTCGCTTTCATACTTACAAGGTTACCTCAGGTAACGAAACATTTGAACAAACCAACTTGTTTGTAAGCACATTGCCGGTTTTTGGGTTCCCCAGGGTCTGACACCCCTTTAAATCTATCACTATTGGACGGGTAGCGTGAAGTTTAGCCACCCTAGGATATCCGAGGGTTGATATCACCCCCTCGAGGCGCCGTGTGTGTGCAATTCTTTTATATCGGCCCTGTGGGAACAGTAGTAAAAGTTTTCCTTTTGTAACTTTCAAGACTCTGACGTTATGTATTTACATTTGCAGATTTTCACTCACCTGGTCCTGGCCGGCTCGATCTTCCTCCTTCCTGTTGATGGTTTCGCATGCTGCCTTAATGTAAGCCCCCTGTACGTATACTGAATGTATCCTGAGTGTTTTCTGTCCGGTATACCTTCAGTATACGTAACAGGAGACCACATTTCTACTAGAGCTGCTTGAAGATCTTCATGGAAACTTGTGTCGTGTTCACCAGTAGTTAATGATATGTATAAGATGATTCAGATGAATATTCAATATGTTATACAAAACTAGGTTAGAATCGAATGTGTTACATCAGTGTTATAATTTACATAAGTTCGAGTACTAACTGTGCAAAATTATTTCTATTTACATACATACTCAATAAATTCAATGATAATCCTAGATTATGATGTAGTTAGAATATTGCTTTTTGAATTCATAAATAATCAACAAGATAGCTCATGGCCTTATATTCATTAGAATAAGTATTTCAGATTGTAAAAAAAGATATATTACAAATATATTTGTGAATAATCAAGTGTGAAGTTAATTAGTTGTGAATACATTTTCCAGAAGCAAATTTGTCACTTAAATAGTTTCCAAATGAAAACAAAATAGCAGAAAATTGAGTGGATAATTTGAAGCATCATTCACTCATAACAATCAGTCTGAAAGTTTCAAAAATGAATACTTTAACAGCAAAACACATATTTATACAACAATATATTTTGAACGAAAGTAATTTTTTGTGGACGTAATACATTTTATAATCAAAATTGAAGAAAAACTTAACATATATAAAAATTCATTGAAAAAATCTGTTTTAAAGGAAAACGAACGTTTTGTCTATGAAATCTTGGGTGATATTTCTTATTTACATTTCAATAATAATTTCAAAATTCAACGGCAATTTACTTATTAGCCTAATGACAGTCTTTTTAACAACGACGTCACTTGAATCAAACAAATATCTGTAATTTGATTTTTTGAAAATTATTTATAGTTATTCCTTTCCAAAACTATCAATTTCTTGCAATAATCACAGTTTCTGGGAAATATTGTTAGATTTTTCATTTGCTCATAGTTCAGAAAGAATAACTGACAAATTGAAGGAGGACATTGAATTGGGAATTCAGAAAATGTTTTTTTTTCTAGAGAAGTTATTTCAGTTAATTTCCATTCATCAAATACATCATGTTTCATAGACATTGGCAAATATGAGATTGTGTTGAAAAAAACATAAAAAATGGTTTTGAAGGCAACAGACTTTTCTAAACTCTAAAAACTGTGATTGTTGAAGTTCACAAAACTTATTTAATTCACAAAAAATGTTCAGATATGAAACTTAGGCGGAGACATCTAATGAAAGACACCTTCGCCATTTTTCTTGGAGTCATATGTGTTTTTATTATGGCAGTTGAATATTTTTGTAAATAAGTTCAAGTGAAATAATTCTCTAATTCAATATAAGAAACTATAGACCAACTGCTTTGAAAATTTCAAATACTTGAAGCGTTCTTCCAGTTAAATACCCTCAGAAATCTTCAAGGGACATATGCAAGCTCAGTAGGCGATGACTAACGTTTCAAGTCTCCACATATTCCCATTCTGTCAAACATAATTTTTTCATACTTCAGATAATATTCAATATTTGATGAAAACTTGGTTGTTACCACTATTTAATCATTTTCCAGATGTTACATATATCTCTTTACACCATTTTTGTTGAATAACGTTCTGGGAGCCAAGTTGGCATCATCAGAACAGCAGTTATGTTTTTTAGTTTTAATGCTTAATTTCTAAGTTCGATGTTTTATCCACTACTCATATTTACGACCAAGGAAATTATATTCAAAAGTCAATAGAACCAAGCATTCGAACTTTTTTTTCCTCTTTGTCAAAGTTACCAAAACTTATTTTGTTTCCAACACAATCTTTATGGTTGATAATTTGAAGAAGTTGGTACCCAAAACCGACAGAACTCGAAGCTCTTGTGTAAAATGAATCTAATGAAGACAATTTCCATTCACCAAGACGAAAACACTGTTTCTCGACGTACGTTAGGATCATCAGGCGGTGACCAAGTGACCAGTGTTTTGGTCACCTCCTGATAATGCTCTATTTTCAAGTGAAAAGCGTTCTCCATGAAAACAATAAGACAATTTTTAATACTGAATCTGCCACCTCCCCTATCAAACCTTCTAGTAGTTGACTGAATCCCTTTCCTAATGTCATGGTTTAATCACTATGAATGTGTTTTGACTTAAATGGTTCATTTTTGAGAAATCGTAAGATTTGTGCACACTGTGCATATATACAAATATTTGTTAGAAGGTGTAGCATTTTCCACAAATACCCTTGGACTTGAATTTTTAATGGAATATGACTTGGTAAAACACATCTGTCCCCCGAAAAAAATGTTCAAGATAAAGGTAAGATAACAGAAGGGCTCTAGTGGGGCATGGGGAGCTTTCAATAACCTCACTTTTGAATTAAAAAAACTACCACTACCAAGGTAGCTGAAAGAAGAAAAACTGTTAAACTCAACCAAATATTTTAATGCAAATACATTTTCAAATACCCCCAAAAAAGACATATTGATAGGAATGGGTGAGTGAAAGAATCAATTTGTTACCCAGGAACTCTTTTTTAGGAAAGATACATTTCACCATTTTTATCCAATTATGAATCCAAAAAAAAAATTGCTCTTTCGAAGTAAGAAATTTGAATTTATAAGGGGACAACGTTTTTGACATCCACTAATAACAATAATAATAATAATTCGTCTTCTATTCTCCAATAGTAACTTAATAACATTTATACAATAAAATTTTAATTACAGGAAAATGAAAGGCGAAGTTCAGTTTATTTTCATCTAAAGGCAATAAAAATAAACTGTTCTTCTAATGCTTTTTGAGAAAATAAAAGATTGAATACAATAAAAATGACAGTGACTTACCTAGGTAACTTGAAATTCAGATTATGGGTTTATATTTTGTTCAATAATACCTACATAGGAAGTGTAGAAATCAAAAACTATATAGAATAATTATTCCTTGAAGTATACAGCGAGTATCTCAGCAAAAGAGAGTTTTGAGAAGTTTAAACTTTCTGTCCAAAACCTCAAGAATGTTTCACTACAAGTTTTTGTATTCTAAACATGTTCTGGTACTGGTACTAGTACTGGTGAATATTACTTTTTACTGAAAGGTAGAAAGATGAAATACTGGCGTAGGAAAAACCCGAATCAAATACTGCAGCCACACATCAGAACTTTTCGACACGTCTTTCACCAATCAGGTTGGCGTCATCAGGAGGTGAATGTAGTTCCCAGTATCATGTCAAAAAGAGTATTGCAGGTTTGGTGAATGTGACCAGCGTCCATTTTGGATCACTTTTCATGAAGAAGAGTTTACGTTTCTGTAAACTCTCACACGCATTCTGTATGCGTGTGAATCACCATATCATAAATTCCTATTAGGAATCAGGTTTCTTTTGAAATAAAGTTGTGTTTCGCTGACAATTATTTTGTGGTGACATGATAATCTAATTGCGTGACAAGGGGATAATAAGGGAACTGCAAAGGAACTTTGGGTTTCTTAGCAAACGCATAAAATATTTCAAAACTATTCAAAGTATGACCTGGGACTAATGTTTCGAAATCATGAGAGTGGTTTTTTAATTCAAAAGCAGAATGCTTGTGCAAATTGCAAAAAACATATTGAAAGAAATACTCCACATTGTTATTTGATTGGTAAGTGATGAATCGGAAAAACAATTATTTCGTAAGTGCCTCTAAGTTCAAAGACCAAGGGTACATTGTCTGAATGAATGAGTCCTGACATCAGCAGTCCTATAATTACAAAATATGAAGGAAAAACTTTAGGTTCAGAAAAGGTCTCAAACTTCCAGTGACGAGGAAGTAAATAATATCCCAGAAATCCAATGGAATGGTTATTCAACAAATTTACAGGACAAATTCTCATCCTAGTCAACTGAAAAAGCAGGTGTTACCATTCAGGGATGTTTCTATTTCTAAATGTTCTAACAGCGTGTGTAATGTCGGTTACTCAGATGAATCTGTTGTGTTTACTTCAGGCCATCGAGTTAAAACTAGTGGTGTAAATTCAACAAGTTAATTTGTAACAAATGTTGATTATTATTATATCAACTGAACTTTTCTTATAATCCTAAATAATGAACAGGAAGTAGAAAATATATATTTGAATTTTAGTAAGAAACAATTGAACAATTCATCATCGTTTTGGAAAATCAATTAGAGAAAACAAATGACTCAAGTGTCAGACTAGATTACAATAGAGCTAATGAAAAGCTGTTTTGATATCTCATAATGAAAACAGAACATCTTCCTGATGAAGTAAGTGATTGGTTCATTGAAGAAAATGAACTTAGCTCTTCTTTATTTATTGTACAAAATAAACAGTACTGAATGAAGTAGTATACTCAAAGTATGATAGGTTCCAAAAAAACTATATTAGTTTATAATTAAATATTCTTTTCTAATTTTCTTTAGCAACCGTTTAATCAGGCGATAATCGTAGAAAACGATTCACCTCAATTTTCTACAAGCGAATAACGTTGGTTGCCTACCCTTCATACGCATCCTGTTCATTTAATCAGCTAGACCGCAGTGTGTTGCAATCCTCGTGGCTGGTTTTTATCGTGAAAGTTGGTCCAGCCCAAACCCTGCATTGAACGTCAAATATAACAAGAAGGTGGTTTAAGGAAGAAATAGATATTCAAGAATAAATTTTCAGGAAAAAATCGACTGTATTTGATAGTTTAGTACGATAAGTTTCCTAAACCTTTCTGAAATGAAATAAAAAAGTGGAGAATAATACCCAAGGTAAACTCGATTAAACTCTGCAGAACTTGTAACTCTTTGCTGCCAAAAAATAATGAAGTACCAAAAACAAATCTTAAAATTGGAAAGTAAAAAAACCACTGAGAAATTTGAAATACCCATATTTCGTAAAATATTCCTGAAAGCTACAATGAGTCATCACAGTGGTGATACTGTTTGTATACACAGAATGTAATCACACTAGTAAAAATCACAAAAATCCCTTTGTTGTCCTCCAAATATCG